GGAGGAAGTCTCTGCGAGGAACAATCATAGCAGCGTTCGCTTGCCTACCTTATGCTAGGAACTGCACTAACAGTTTCACATCAGACTCTTGGAACAACGTGAAGCAGTGGTTTTCTAAGTGTACACCACCAGCAGCCTCATTATCACCTAGAAACTGTTTAGGAATGTAAATTGTGGGCGCCACCACAGACCTGCTGAGTCAGAAACTCTAAGAGCGGCTCCCAGGTGATTCCCAGCAGTTACAGTTTGACCATCACCGCTGTAGAAAGTAGGTGTGACTTTTTATCTCCATTTTCTGGAGCAACTATGGCCTTGAGAAACTAGGTAACCTGCCCAGCCAATTAATTAATGCCAGGGTCTGATTCCAACCTATTTCTTCTGGAGACAGAGCCTTTGGGTTGATTTCATCAAACAGCATCTCAGTGCATATTCTGAGCATGGCTCATGGTGGTGCATGGCTGAAATCGTCAGCGATAAAAGACCAGGACTTTGATAAGAGGTGGCACAGGGGACTGTGGGAGTCTGTAGGAGAAAGTGACTGACACGCTGAGTTACAGAAGGCTTCCAGGAAGAGGAGGATGGACGTTGGAGCTGGTGCCTTGTGGCAGTCTGACTCACGAGCTGAACAGTGCCAGCGTCCCCCTTCTGCCCCCAGGTGGCAGTTTGCCAGGAAGGGGAGAAGGAAAGGACTAACTCATATTAGCTGAAAATGGACAATATGCCAACTGCTGTAATCCTTTCTACCATCAGAACAACCTTGGGAGGTAGGTGCTCTTTCAAACCCCATTTTATAGATAAGGAAGCCAGGAAGTGAATTGACTTTGTCCAGGATTGCAGGTGTAGTTAACGGGGCAAAGCTGGGACTCAGGGCCTGTTTTTTTCTGGCCTTGGGTCTTTAACACGCATTAGCCACCACTTCCAAGTGCGAGAGGCATCTATTCTCGGATGGATGCCCAGGAACTACATGAGCAGAAATTGTCCTGTCCCCTCTGACCTGTGTCCATTCCGTGCTCATCCATGTTTGACTTCCTAGCCCTCCTTCAGAGGGGCTCCAAACTAAATGACTCACTCCTTCAACACATATTTATCAAGCTTTTCCTATTTCACGAGTTTCCTCTGGGTTTGGGGAATACTATGGTGAATAAGGGTATGTCGGTGTGTGTGTGTGTGTGTGTGTGTGTGTGTGTGGTGGGGGTGGTGGTGTCTCAGGACCCAATTAGGAGCGCTTCTTAGGGACTTCAATAATATAGGGGTCAGGGAAGGAACCCCAAAATGACTGACATTAAAAGTGAGATTTGAAGAAAGGGAAGAAATTAGGGAGCTGAAGTGCTGAGGGTAGGAGTGGGAAGGGAGTAATGTATTCTAGGAAGAGAAACTGCAGGTGCAAAGATCTTGGGGCAAGATGGAACTTGGAAAGTTCTAGGAACAGGAAAAAGCCAGAATGGCTGGAAAATGTGTGAGAAGAGTGATTTTGGGTTTCATTCTGAATACAATGGGATGCCATTTTAAGGACCCAAGCAGGAAATTAGTATAAGATCATGCCAGTTGCTGGGTGAAGAATGGACGAGAGATGAATGGAACAAAAGCAGAGACCAGTTAGGAAGCTGTTGTAGGCTGTGGAAGGAAAACATTATAAGCCCCTCTTTAGAAAGGAAAAATATAATTAAAATATAATTAGAATGTGAACTTCCATGTTCATAAGGGAATCTGTTTTTCTCTGCAAAATACTTTGCTGGTTGGATATGTTAAGCTAAAGCCGTTGTTTCTCAGAGTGAGAAACACTGGACCAGCAGTATTGGCAACACCTGGAAACTTGTTAGAAATGCAAATCCTCAGGCCCCACCCCAGAAAAACTGAATCAGAAACTCTGGGGATGAGGCCCAGCACTCTGTGTTTTTATTAAGCCTTGTTTAAAAATAGTTTCCCCTTAACTAACAATAAAAAAAAATAAATTAAAAAAAAATCTAACTCACTAACATTGAAGATATATACTGCCACAGTATAGTAAAAGTAATAAAAATAAAAACAATTACTCAATGTAGACGAGTATGTTAACACAGAAGGGGATAAATTTCTATGAATAAAAAAAGTAAACGGAAAAAAAAAAGATAGTTTCCCCAAAACCATATTGTACTTGCCTTATAATCACTGTCAAACAGATGGAGGTGGTGGTGGTGGGGTCTTCTTTGGGTGTTGGATATTAATGCTTATGTAGGAAATGGAGATAATATTAAGGCCTTGAGGCCTCAATAAAAAGATGGGATCTTGACATAGACCCATAGGAAAAGAGTAGGCTAGAAACAAAATTATCCACTGGTACAGTGAAAGAGAATGCTTGAGATTTTCTGTCTTAACTTGTGTCCTGGATGGAAAGACACATAAAAATAAAACATTGCTGAGACATCATAATCACACATACTATGTGATTCCATTTGTTTGTTTATTTATGAATTTTTATGAGTGTATTTGAGCCAAACTGATGACATATACAGGGGAGCAAGGTCTCAAATGCTCCTGTATGACTCTATTTATATGAAATGATCAAACAAGGCAAATCTGTAGAGAAAATAGTTTAGTAGTTGCCTAAAATGAGGAGTGGGAATGACTGCAAAGGTGAATAAGGGATCTCTGATAGAAAAAAGTTCTAAAACTGGATTGGGCAGATATGTGCACGACTGTATACATTTACTAAAAATAATTGAATCATACACTTAAAATGTGTGACTTTTATGATATGTACACGTAAATTGTGCCTCGATAAAATTGTTGAAAGGCAAAGCTAACATTTTGAGATGTTTTAACTTTTAAAAAGGTCATATCTTTCCAAGGGCTAGAGAAGAGAAAAACAGGGGATGAGTACTTAATGGGTATGGGTTTCCTTTCGGGGTGATCAATATGTTCTGGAACTATTGGGTTGTCGGAAAAGTCATGACGCATTTTTGCAACGAAAACCAGAAAAAATACGTCATGACTTTTCTGACAACCCCATAGATTGAAACAACCACTTGACTTGGAGCTGATGGGTCCTGGAGAAACACACTGTTACCCAATAAAAAAAATTTTTTTAAAAATTATGCCAGTTGATATAAAGAAAGCTTACTATGCATCTTTATCTAAATGATTTTTAAAACCTTTTTATTTTTTTATTTTTTATTTTATTTTTTTAAAGATTTTTATTGGGGTATTGGGGGAAAGGGAACAGTGCTGGGGAATTGGGGGAAGGGGAACAGACGAGTTGCTGTCGTTTTGTTCTTCAGTCTAGTTGTGGAGGACGTTGCTTCACTGGCCCAAGTTGGCACCATCATTGCGCTCTTCCCG